ATACCCCACATCAAAATGGGGTAGTTGAAAGGAAACACATGAACCATTTGGAGATAGCATGGGCATTGCGATTTGAGGTCAGTCTTCCCACTACATTTTGAGGGGAATTTGTCCTTGAAGAATCTTGTATGCTCAAGAATCATATTAAAATGATATTGCTAATTAATATATGATACTAATGGGTCACACTAACAACAACTTGATACAATTGATTATTTATTAGAAAATGGTTTTAATAAATATTCAGTAAACTCTTATAATTAATTGGAAATTATTTATTTCATGGAAATAATAATTTTCATTAGCAAGTAACATTACATAATTCATATGGTATGAATTAATAAGTCATGTACAACATTTTAGACTAGATAAATTCTTTTATCTTTTATCAAAAAGTTAAAGTTTATATTTTATAAACTTGGTTTATAAAATATAAAAGTCATGACTTCTTTTTATGTATTAAAATCCGAAAATGAAAGAGAGGAAAAGAATGATGGTCTTTTGATTAACTTAATCAAAAGTAAAGGCTTTCTTTCAAACATGGGGCACATCATGTCTTAGGTGCATGGGTTGTCTTAAAGGCTTAAGACCCTTTGTGTAAAAGATACAATTTATGGGTGGATCTGGGTTAAGGGTTGTGTTAGAGCCTCGCTGCCTATTCTTGTTTGATGAAGGCTTTGGGGTACGAAGCATGACCCGAACACCTGATTGGAATTCAGTCGGATGCAGGTTCGACTTGGGATAAATTGGGGTTGAGATGGTTTAGGTGTGGTAAGACCATGGGTGGTAACCATGTCTGGTTAGAAATGTTGTAAGACTGCGATGGGATCGTAGCATTCACCGGCTTGAGGTAGACTATCGTTGAGGTAGTCATGAGTATGAAGGAGGATCAGCGCGTGCCTTGGACAAGATGGACAGAGTTTTCGGAGAACATTTCTCTGTTCTAGGAGGAGGACCATTGGGGTCCGAGGAGGGTTCGGGCCTGTATAGCTCTAGCTGGGTGGGACCCATAGGCGAGGCCCTTCTGATTATGGCAATACAGGTGGGACCTGGTTGACACCGTTGGATCGAGGTATTGGATCTTGGTTTTGTAGGAATGGTTATGTGGTCAGTGAGCGGCGTAGAGGGATGCTTAGGCTATGGTAGCCTTGTCAATTGGACTCTTAGGAACCAGGTGGCCGGACCAGGTGTGAGACTGGCAGTCTCAGCGGTGGCTGGGGATCTTTATATCCAGGTTTAGTGAAGGGTTGCCGTGAATCATAAGATTTTGGGTTAAATGCAAGTGTAGATCCTAGGATCTCCGGTTGCAAATTACGTACCGAGTTGGCTTTGGTGGGAACTCGCGTTGGGAATTGTGAGTGTTTATGTGCAAGGTCTTTACATCAATAAGAATTGAATTAAGGAACATGTATGCTAGGGGAATTAGTTGTAGGGTTCAAGGAAAAAAGGGATATTTTGATTTTGGTGGTAGGAAGACCCCTTATGCTCCTGTTGTGGAATGATGCTACCTGTGTGTGGGTCGGGCAAGTCATGGGACTTCAAAATTATATCAGAAGCGTATCAGTTTTGCAGTTAAGGAAGCAATGTCTTATTCAACACTAGAAGGTTTATCTCCCAGATTGTCCCTCGTTGTTCATTATATTCATGGAATTGTTAATATCAGGATGAGCCTTTTCTTGAAGAAATATCTAATCCCTTTGGTCAAGTGAAAAGTTTTCGACATCAGCAATTGGTCTGTGATTTTGTTTTCTAGTGCGAACCTCAGGTAATCAGAAGTTGAGTAGTCAGTTTGGGAGACAAGTGGAATGGAATTAGCAGTGGTTCTGTATGGGCGGTCTGTCGGGGAGTCAGAACAATTCAAATTTTCAGATTCCGAGTTGAGTAGAAGTGGTTATTCTGCAAGGGATTGTTTTAGACGGAGAATGGATTCGTTCTTCATCGGGTTTGGATAGCCCTGCTAAAGTTGAGATCGGTTGTCTTTGGGATGGCTGTTGTATGCTTGGGGTTGTGGATGTGTTGCTCAGACAGCCTAGAGTTCCTGGGATGGTAAGGAAGGATTTCAAGGATGAAATCTAATTCAAGTGGGGGAGAATTGTAACGCTTGAATTGGGGATGTTTCCTGTTTGCCCTTCGTAATTAAAGTATTGCACTTTTGGTCCTTGTGGTTAGTACATGGGGCGTACCATAGGGTATGATTAGCGTACTAGCTGAGAGGCTACTACGCGGGCGTACAATGTGTGTATGCTTAGCGTACTAGTAAAGGGTGGATCGCGCATTCGGACATCATGTGCGGGCCGTACGCCTATGTACGCTTGACGTACGAGGGGTTTAGTGGAACCCTAATTTTAGGGTTTTTCACCCTATATAATCCAGGTGATAGCCTCTCTTGTACGTGTTTGCTCAGCCTCCTTACCCTTAAAACCCTAATTTCGTCCCTTACCCTTGTGTGTTGCATTTGGAGCTCTTGTAAAGCATTTTTGGTGTGTTTTGTGCACTTTGAAGAGGAAGGAGAAGGTGGAAGACTCATCCTTTGGAGAAGAGCCTTGAGATCCAACTTTAGCATCTCCATTTTGTGGCATTTGAGGTATAAAGTTCATAGCTTGTCATCTCATTTCATAGATCTACTCTTTAGCTTGTTGTTGATCCTTGTTGGTCTCTTTTGGTTGGTATTGATGGGTTAAGGCCGTTTTAGAAGCTAAATTTTGTAGATCTGGGTGTTTGGAGAGTTCCATAAGCTTAAAGACACAAACTTTATGGTGTTCATGGTCTCATGCATGTAATAAGTCATTTATTAAGCTCTTTTGAGCTCTAAGAGCCTCATTAAGCAATGCATGCACGTAAAGTTGGCAACTTTACGTGATAAACCATCTTAAGGAAGTCAGATCTGAGTTTGGATTGAGGTCTTAATCGATTAAGAGTTGAAAAAATGGAAGTTGGCCAAATGGGGGAGTACGTTGGGCTTACAAGCAGGTACGCTTAGCGTACAAGCCCTAAAGCGAGTACGATGCACGTACGTGCTGAGTATGCCCCGCGTACTCAACAGTTTGGACTTCGGATGCTTGGGATTTCGGTTTGGGCCATGTTTGGACTTAGATGTTGACGACCTTGTTGGGCCATCAGGTTTTTGGACTGGTGTTTTTGTGGGTTCGCTTGGAAGGCCCATGAAAGAGATTTGAGCCAAATTTGGAAAATTGGGCCATAATTGGGCTCGAGGTGATTATTTTGGAATTTGGCCTTCTTAACAAATGGATTGGGCCTAGGATCTGGGCCAAGTTAGGTAAAGGGTAAGAAGGTATTTTACCCTGGTTTAGACTCTTTGTGTGATTTGGGATCCAATTATTAATTGGATGTTATTTGTGATTGACAGCGCGAAGATTTTAGCGGGCTAGTAGTCAGAGACTTATCTGTGAGATTCAACGGTGTGAGGTTAGTTTCCTCACCATGTTTAGCGGGTCGAAGGCACCAATGCCGTCCCATGATCTGTTATGATAGAATACTAGATGTCTGTGTGACTCTTGTATATGTATGTGCTTGTATGCTTACTAGGCGGGTCCCGATGGTTATTTTGCATGCTAGTATCTTGTTATGTTTATATGATTTTTATGTGAGCGGGGTCCGTTATATGAGTTTGGGTGGGGCTTGTTATACTCAGTGGGCGGGGCTCGTTATATGAGTTTGGGAGGGGCCCGTTATACTCAGTGGGCGGGGACCGTTATTGTAAGTCCCAAAACTATGGATCTTATGCAATATCAATCTTAATTGCGTAAAGAATGCGGAATGTTAATCAAGCAATTATTCAAGAACACGCAAAGTAGCTTCAAATGCACACGATTATATTATCAATAAACCGTCTGGTACATAAGAACTCAAAGCAGCCGTGAACTAAAGAATGGAACAACTAACAACTCCTACTGTTGAATACAATATATATATATATATATATATATATATATATATATATATATATATATATATATATATATATATATATATATATATATATATATATATATATATATATATATGCCAAGTACAACGGTATAAAGGCCCAAGCCCATCAAGACCGAAATCACCATGGTGATTTCGGTCCTTACAACCGAAAACATAATAAGCCCATTAACAAAATACTATTCTAAGCCCAAGAACAATAAACATTATGAGCCCATCATAAACCACAAAAATATGACCCAAAAATCTCCCCCTTGGTTTATTGCTGGCTGACTTCAAGGCTTCTCCACGATATGCACGTTAGAATCACCCAATGCTCTTGCCCACAACTTCTTATCAATGATTGTGGCAATCATGCTGGTGAATGACTTAGCAGCGGCTTCAAACATTTCATTCTCCACTATAAGTTGACTCTTAGACAAGGTGTGAATGTCATGCTCGCCAAATTTTAGTAAATCCCTAGGATCAAAAAGTCGAATATGATCCTTTTCCGTATTGATAACCACAGTTGTTGTTGCCTCATCATATACCCAAAATAATAAATCATTTAAAGAGTCATCAGGTAAACGCTGAGTGATAGGAATCTTTTCCGCTTTAGACGTAGGCAGCCACATGACATTTACCAGAGTCTTGTTGGTGTGAGGATCTAGGACACCCTTGGACTTTTAAATGAACGAAGCTGCTGTTCTCATCCCTGTAAAGTTCATCTTAGCTTTGTCTTCAAGGAATCATTTGAACGCCCATGCGTTGGGATTGTTTGTTGAGTTGTGAAACGGAGCGTGGACCAGCTCTGCAAGATCAAATTTTGTCCAGGACATAAAATCAATCTTCTTCTCATAATACTCGATGTTTCCGCTCTTACGTTTTACAATCCACATATTCTTGTCAGCTTCAGATCCCCACATGTGAATCCCAGAACGATCACCGTATCGATCAACAAATTTTCTTTTTCCAACTTCTTTGATGAACATCCGAGGTTGATCACCAGTTGCATTCTGATCAGAATTCTTCATCAGAAGCATTTTATCTTTCTTCAGCATATTCACTTTCTTCTATTTCTCCCTTCTCTCTTCAGCGGTGACAGGGCCAGAGGACAAATATTGATCTATGTTGGAATCTGGAGCAAGACTAATCACCACCCTTTCAGATGACTCAGGAGCTTTTCCATCATCAGAACTAGAACTCTTGAACTCATCACCAAACTTTACAATTAGTTTGTCTTTGAGATCAAAGTAGAAGGCTGTCAGTCCGCCAAGATTTGCTTGAAGTTCTGAGATCTGTTTATTCTTTTGGGAATTCTCATTTTCAAGTTCCGAAACTCTCACATCCAATTTCCCAATCAGCGAATCCTTTTCAATGGATTCCTGCTTCAAAATTAGTATCTCTTGTCTGAGTTCAGAGATGGTTTGTTGAGAGTCTTCATCACCTCTTTGTTCTGAGCCAATATATATACCCTTTCCTCTTGACTGAGGAATAGAGTCTTGAAAATCAAGAAGCTTGGCTAGCTTAATAGATGCAACATCGTGCTCTGGAGGTGGTGGAGCAGAAGAACTTTCTGAGGAAAAAGTTTCCTCATTAACAAAGAAGTCTTCAACAAATTTGGACTTTGATCATCTTCATCAACTTGGGTTGGTTCAATGATCGGGCTTTGAACATCTTGATGAACCTGGGCTGGTTCAACAATTGGGCCTTAAACATCTTCATGAATTTGTGCTGGTTCAACAATTGGGCCTTGAACATCTTCATGAACCTGTGCTGGTTCAACAATTAGAGTTTGAACATCACGAATAACTTGGGCTAGCTCAGCATTCGAAGTTGGCGGTTGTACTGGTTTAGCAATAAGCACTCCCGGCCTTGGATCTCTACGTCTTCGCTTCTTTTGCATCTGAGAGGCATTTGGTTCATCTTTATCACTCTCATGGAGATTCAACAGAAACATGAACTGCTTTGGGAGGCTTCCTTGCAGTTGACTGTAATTCTTTAATAAGTGCTTCCATTAGTTCGAGTGTTAGATTATCCGGTTGCTTGAAAATATTGATTACAGACTCTGTCTCAGCTGGAGTAATCACAACTTCATTGACTGGCTCCTTTGGTGGAACAAACAGACGAAAATTCACATCATCATTATCATCGGAATCATCATCATCATCATCATCATCATCATCATCATTGGAAACTTTAAACGAAAAACTGAGATTTGACCTTGATGGTACCACATGTTCTTCTGCCACTATAGCAATTGGAGTACTAGTAGCTTAAGCACCTTCTGTCTCAGCGAATTTTCCAAATTTGACCAACTCCTTTAAGCCTTTATAGGCGACTTTCGCAGATTGTCTTGATTGCTTCATGCGCCCAAAGGTGTTAGCACCCAAAGCTTTCATGTCCAAAGTATCAGACGATCTCTCGACCTGGGGATATTTTTCATTCAGAATCATTTAAAGAAACCTGGGATACATTAAGAACGGATCCTTCTTCCTCCCTTGAAGATTCCTTTTCATTTCTTAAAAAACATACTTTGAAAAGTTGTAATCCCAGTTCATTGTTAAAGCAACAATGGTTGGGGTCGCAATTTGACTAATCTCATTAAACCCTCCCTTCCTTCCAGAAATGCAACTCACAAAGTAGTGCGCCAGAAACCTCCAGTAAGGTGGCAGCTGCTTCCTGATGGTGGGGGATAGGTTCCTTCATAGCACATCTTCTCAAGGACTTCCTTCACTTGATTAATAGGGTACTCAATTGGGAATGCAGGGGCATCACCAAATTCAAGTACTTCTCGGATAACTTGCTCTAGAAACAACTACTTGAGTTCCCTTCACCACTGAATCAATAGAACCAGCTCCATCCGCTCCCTGATTATTGATTGAGGCATTTTTCCAGAAATCAACAATCAGGTCCTCGTAGATGACTGGATTAGAACGCAAAGTGTGAGAGATTTTGCAATTATTCAAACCCACGATCATGGATTTGAATTCTTTATGAACAACAGGTGGATCCATAAGATATCCAACAACATTGTGATTTGTAAAAAACTTTAACTGATTCGCCATTTATCTGCACCAATCGAGTCAAATGAGAATAATAAAAATTAAGATTAAAATTTATTTTCTCAAAAATCAAAGCTTGGTCCAAAAATGTTGATTTCGGTCCAAAATTTGCGTTTTCAGTCCGATTTAATTTGATTTCAGTCAGTCTAAAGTTGTTTTCGGTTGATCAAATTCGAGATTTCGGTCAAAAGGAGTGTTTTCGATCAAAAAGATGTTTTCGATCAAAAAGATGTTTTCGGTTTAATTAAATTGATTTCGGTTGAATTTAATTGATTCCGATTGGACCCAGATCAAACCGAAAACCCGAATAAAACCCGACGAATCACAGACCAAATCCTTTTGACAGTTTCGCCGGAAACTTTCGTCAACACGCCGGAAAAACTCCATTAACCACCTGCAAACACTTTAAAAATAGAAGCATGATATTTAAAAACCATATACCTAGAAATGTTTGCAAGAAATCAAAGGGATTTGATGATTTTAAGCCGAAGATGAAAAGATTTTCCGATGAATATGAACTGACTTAGCCTAGGGTTTTGAGAGAAAAGAGGGAATAGATGTCGGTGTGGATTTGGAAGAATGAAACGAAAAGAAAAAAAATTCTTTTATATCCCAAAAATTGGGTTCTCGGCCTTTGGGCCACCGAAATCAATGGGCTCCATTTTAAAAAAAAATAATTCGTTTCGAAGATAAACAAAACAATAGAATAAAATAAATGTCAAGGAAAAATAAAATTAAAATAAAAAAAACTTAAAATTTTAATAATTTAAAAATAAAACAAATAAAATGCCAAATAAAATTAAAATAAATTAAAAATAAAACAAACACACTTTAATAAATAAATTTAAACATTTTGGGATCAAAAGTTGTTGAGCAATTTAATAACGTTTATCAGCACAAACCTGCATGAATAACTCTCGTCAATCACCAATATTGTGGTTCACTTAAACACAAAGAATTTTGACAGGTTGGACAGATTATAAATGACAAAACATTGTGATTATATTCCCAAATAATATTCTTAAATAGACCATTTTACTGACGACGACCAAATGTATTGTTGTCCGCTTAAATTCAGCAGCGAGATCTACAAACAACCTTTATTTAATTCAATTTTAAGTGCACTAGAATGTGTTCCCCATTTCACGACATACCCTAGCAATCAAGGAATTCCAAAGTGCTCTTTACTATGGTGAGTGCTCAATTATTTGAGAGAGAAGATGGATATAGAGATGCATATGTTGTATCCCAGGTTGGATCTCTTCCGATCAAGTAGAGGGACAACATATGACTAACATAGATAGAGGGTTAGAGAGATAGAAATGTGCATATGTTGTGTCCCAACTCGGATCTTCCGATCACACAGAGGGGACAACATATGACTGATATAGATAGATAGAGAAAAGCATAGATAGAGATGCATGGAAGTAGAGGTGCATATGTTGCTTCCCAGGTCGGATCTTCCGATCACACAAAGGGGGAAACATATGACTAACAGAGAGGATAAGAAAGAAAAACAATTTCACACAGACCTACTTTATTAGAACCCCCCATTCACCCTATCAGCACCAGAATTAAGGACATAAGTCTGTACACCGAAGAAATGATGAGCCACAGTTCTAGATGATAAGTAACTTTATTGTATCTTGTAGGTTCCCTTGTTCATCTCACTGCTCAATCTATCCAAACGTCGTATGGTCAGTCCAAATGTAACCATCTATATCCAGATGAGTTAATACTATCAAGTCCTTTCATTATCAGTTGTGTCTAGTCTTTTTGAATCTTTCGTGCCTACCAGCACATTGAACACAAAGTCTAAACAATTTAGCTTCAGTGCATTACACGAATTTCATATTGCCCTTTAGCACTAAATTTCATATCACTTCCCAATAACACTAACAAAAGAAGACATATTTTTGTATTTTTGATTTTATAATTTTTTTTTTGTATTTTTGATTTTTATAATTTTTTTGTATTTTTGATTTCTCCCCCTAAATTTGTGCATGGAGAAGAAATTAAATAAAGAAATGTGCAAATTTAAACACACAAAAATAGAAAAAATAAAAAATAGAAGCTTAATCTTCGAAACGAATCATCTTTAGAAAACCCACAAGCACATCGAAACAAGTTTTACTGAAGGGTTTGGTGAACAAATCTACCACGTTGTTATCGGTGTGGATTTGTTCCAAACGAATGAGCTTACGCTCATAGCAGTCTCGAATAAAATGAACTTTAATGTCGATGTGCTTGGTTTTGGAATGTTGGACCGTATTTTTAGCAATTTGAATGGCGGCATCATTATCACAAAAAATGGAAGTGTCAAGAAAGTTCAAACCATAATCCATCAATTGGTGTTGAATCCAGATAACCTGAGAGCAGCAGGCTGAGGCGGCAACGTATTCAGCCTCAGCCGTTGAGGTCGACCCTATTTGATGTTTCTTGCATTGCCATGACACCAATCGGTCCCCTAAAAACTAACATCCACCTGATGTAGATTTCCTGTCAAGATCACACCCTCCATAGTTGCTGTCAGCAAAAGCATATAAATCGAAATTGAGATTTTTAGGATACCAAAGACCCAGTTTAGGGCTACCTTTAAGGTACCTAAAAATCCTTTTAACAACAATTAAATGGGAAAGTTTAGGATTATCCTGATAACGAGCGCATTGACAGACGGCAAACATGATGTCAGGTCTGCTGGCAGTCGGATACATCAGAGATCCGATCATCGATCGATATTCAGTTTGATCTACGGATTCCCCATCTGGATCTGGAGTCAACAGTGGTCTCTCTGCCATTGGAGTTGAAGCAATTTTTGAATCTTTAAAACTGAACTTTTCTAGCATGTCTTCCACATATTTTCCTTGATGCAATAAAATTCCGACCGAATCCTGTCGAACCTGTAACCCTAGGAACATTGTCATCTCACCCAATGAGCTCATCTCAAATCTTTTCTTCATTACATCCTCGAACTCTTTGCATAGCTCTGTGCTGGTCGACCCAAAAATGATGTCGTCTACGTAGATTTATACGACAATCAAATCTGCATACACTTTCTTGATGAATAAAGTCCGATTGATCGTTCCCCTTGTATATCTGTGCTCAATCAAATGTTCAGTTAGGGTAGCATACTAATTCTAGGAGCATGATGTAAACCATATAAAGCCTTGTCCAGTTTGTAGACGTGATTTGGAAACTTTGGATTGACAAACCCTGGAGGTTGATCAACATAAATCTCCTCCTTCACGACTCCGTACAAGAAGGTTGTCATGACATCCATTTGATAAACTGTAAATCCCATGTATGAAGCGTATGATAGGAATATACGAATGACTTCCAAACGTGCTACATGAGCATATACTTCTGTGTAGTCAAGACCCTTCTGCCTGAATCCGTGAACGACCAAACGAGTTTTGTTGCGCACAATACATCTAGTATCATCTTGTTTATTTCTGAAAACCCAACGAGTGTCCAAAGACTTCTTACGACCAACTTCCATACTCTCAACTTCTCAAATTGATTTAGTTCTTTATACATTGCATCTACCCAGCTCGGTTCATTTAATGCCATGGCCACACTCTTTGGTTCAATTTGGGATATGAAGCACGAATAGAGACACTCGTTGACATCTCCACTTAGACTTTTGGTCTGAACCCCGCTTTCTAGTGGACCAATAATGTTTTGGATAGGATGATCGCGTTGAACTTTGGTTGGGATAGGATGGCTGATATCATTTACTGTGACTGGAAGATTTGTGATGTTGTCAAATCTGCCCGCTGCCGAATCACCTCCTTCAGACTGTCTGTGATCATGAGAAGTACCTGCCACAAATTCATTTACGAATGGCTCTAGAAAAAAAAATTCCATGAAGGTTTGTGTGGCAGATACATTTTCC